TTCCACAGATAGCACCATGATATACAGTGACGAGGGAGCCTATTACCAAGAATGCACACCCATGTGGTGCTCGATGGATTTCGGCCAACACCTATCATCACGGTGACTAGTTGTACCAGTACAAGTTGTTATTTGACGAGATGTCGACCATCGTGGTTAGTATATAACACTTCATTATAGAATAGTTTTCATTGGTTTGTTTTAGATTCAAGAGTAATCATGTAACCATTCCCTTCTCCATGAAATGGAGGAGACTGTTTATCACTTAGCAAAGCAAACAGAGTAGGTTGAGTAAGTTTGTGCACAGCTTGCTCAAGATCAGCGTTGTGCTACAATAGAAGAAGAGGAGGAGGATGAAGGAGGAACGAGAAAGGGTGAGGAAAGAGTTGAAGAGGATGACGAAAGAGAAGGAGACGAAGTTCTTGATTTTTTTTAAGGGGAGAGACCACATTCAGGAGAAGGAAGGGGGGTTGAAGATGCAATCGCCATCCAGGCTGAGGATGCAGTTGAGGTGAAAGAGGCTTTCAAGTTGCACCGGCCATGAGTTACATGTGGTATCTACAACAAACTTCAAGGAGCTGCTTGGCAAGGACTCGTTTGCAGTGTCTCTTTGCTAGACCAAGGCCACATCATCTTTGGTCCCACTTGGTGGACGTGATGGTGGCCATGAGATAAGAGAAGAAACGAAGGAGAGGTCACGCGTGTGGAGACTGCATCTTTCTCGAGTGCCTGAGCCATCTTTATCACATGTAATACCACCTACTCGTGACTTGAGACTCCACCTCATCGATGAGAACTTCAACTTCAAGAAAGTTTTGGGGTGGACCTAAACTTAGGAGCCATCGTCCGGCTCAAGACATAAAAGAAGCGTTTGTCGGGAGGCAGCTCAACCAGTCGGTTTACATTTCTTTCCCTATTTCTCTTAGGTTGAGTCAGTTTTGTGGTATGATTTTAGACTCAATAACTCAACTTTTGTGAGATTTTTGTGGTGTTTGTGTTTCGACTATTCTCTCCTCCTGGAATGCACCGCCTGTCCTGTGCACCATCATTCACACTTGATCTGGTAACTTCGTTCTAGCCTCCTTATCTTTCCTCCATTGAGGACAATGTCGTGCTTAAGTGTAGGAGGATATTCCATTATGTTTGCATGTGAATGTTTGGTTGTATGTGTGTTCTTGGAGCCTAGTCCATTGTCCAAATTTTAAGATTTGAGCGCTCCAAGTAAGTGTGGAATAAGAGTAGGCGTGGTTGTTATGCACCGTGCACATTGGCAATAAAAATGTTTTTTCATCCATGCAGCTCGAAGCTCCCACCAACATCCGTCTCTAGAATTCTTGCATATGACATGAAATTATTTTTTGTCAGAATATTTGACCTTCCACTCAAAATCCCATCACATAGCTTCTTCTCTAAAAGCATCACCAATAACATCCTTGGTGGGAAATGCCATTCCCACCTCCAAATCAGACGTCAGATTCCATACTAGCATAAAGAGAAGGTCGGGATCTTCGTTATGAGCATATAAGGGATGATTAGGGATATTTGTGTAGTATGGAGTACGTGGTTCCTGGACACCACCCTCATCGTCCATATCCTTTTCCTCACTCAGAGATCCCAAATCTTCTTTGCTATCCTCGTCGCGTCCGAAAGGATAACTCGACATCTCATAGTGGGATGCTCGCGACCATCACCGTCAACATCATCATCGCGACTTTGAGCAGATCGCATGGATGCCTGAATGATATTTTCAATGTTAGACCATTATGGACCCCAGGTCGGCCATTGAACACCATCTGACTCGACAAATGTGACGGGCTCAACAGAAGTATCATTTGGAGCAGCATCGCCCCATAGTACCCCATCTCCCACATTGCCGCCTGCATAACTACCTCCTTAATAGCCGCTTGAATAACCACCCCATTCCTGCCCTCATGCAAAACATATGTCGTTTAGGGATTTTTATAACAACTATTGCATTTGGGAATTATTTTATATAAAAACTAGTGCATTTAGGGGAAAAATATCACCGTACTAATGGGGGATGATAAGAGGATTCTCCGCCATCATATCCGTAACTGGCTCCACCATGACCGATATCCTCGGTCTCAACATACACCTTTACAAGTCCGGTCTTGTTTTCAGCGAGGAAGTTCACCATCATATTAACCCCATCATCGTCAAATATGAAAACTCCTTCATACGCGACACCGCCTCCACCGATGTTTGGATATTGGTAAGCAATTTACAAACTCTTGGATGGCCCACCATACAAATCCTGTATGCACAAATGTCATATAGTTCTTTCCCGGGAATCTGATTACTTACTATATTCATCATCTTCACAGACCCATTTTGAGAGTTTGTTACCCGACCATTCCACCAAATAAGAAGCTAGAACTTTCAAGATCTACCAATGTCTGCAATTTAAAATAAATAACGATCACATATAACATCCAAAATCATAACCCATTATATTCAACTTTTACTCCGAATGTTTAATATAATTAACACGATGCGTAATTAATGAACCACAAACACACAACTACTTAAACATTACCATACTAAACAAATTCATACATATCTTGTAGTCAAAATAAGGGAATAGAGTTCTGGTGTGGTCGTGGAATTTTATGCTAGTGTGGTGGAGAAGATGGGAGTTTCTGCTACGCAGGTGGAGAAAAAGGGAAATGAGAGTGAGTTAGGATGATGGGGTTGTATTTTTATATTGAGTTTAGATGAGGACAAGATCGCCTTAGACACAAGCGATAAATACATGATCGTTTCCGAAAAAAGCGATCAAGTTTTAGTAGCTGCACCAAACCATAAACTCGTGTCAAATATTGATAGCTTGCGACAAAAGCGATCATTGAAAACCGTTGCACCAACCCTAGCCTCGCGGAAAAAAACAAATGCACCAACCTTAATCTCGTGTTCAAATAAAATCGCGATTGAGAACATCGATTTACAATTGATCGCTTCACTTAAAAGCAATTTCATTAATCGCTTGTGACGACAACGATTATACGACAATTAATACACTGATCGCTTCTCTCAGAAGCGATTAGTGTTTCATCGCTGATGGGAGAAACAATTTGTCTTTCATTGCTTTTGGGAGAAGCGATTTATTCTTGATCGCCGTCCTCCCAAGCTATCAACGTCCTTATCACTTTTGTCACCGTTCACCAACGATCTGGCGAACACATATATAGTTGGGATGGCAGTAGAACCCGAATCCGTGGGTACCCTACCCTACTCAATATGGTCAACACAGTAAAACCCGCTTTTACGGGTTGCAGGTCAGGTTTGAGTTTAAACCCGCTATACTTTTTGTGGGTTGGATTTGGATTTAGCCATATCCAACCCGTGGATACCCCGCACCCAAGTTCTTACTTCCCAGTCCCCATGACCCACAAAACCCTTAACTGATTAACTATACTTTCTAAACTATTTCTTCACATGTTCAATTAATCATATTGTTTATGGATGTTTATCTTTAATATTGAACATTAGTATGAAATATTTGTGAGTTAGTGTGTATGTAGTAGACAATAGTAGTGCAAACTAGTGTAATTGCATCTTTGTACATGACCCATGGGTACCCAGGAACCCGCGGATACCCAGCGGATTGGTCGGGTTTGAGTTTTCCAAATCTAGTAGGTTTTGCCCTGGTTTTTTATGGATAAACCCATGGGTTTGGCATAACCCGCTCCAAACCGACCCATTGCCATCTCTTAATTATATAGATTATGAATTTTATGGCAAAATTACACGTCTGGTCACTCAAATTAAACAAAATTTTCACGTTGCCACTTGAATCACTTTTCTTTCTTATTCGCCACTAACTTTACTAATCTTTTCACCATTAGTCACTGACCATCCAATTCAGTTAAAAGCATCCTATGTGGCAGTCAACCAAACCTAGGGATGGCAATGGGTCGGGTTGGGTCGGGTTTTGCCAAACCCAAACCCAAACCCATGGGTTTATCTTTGAAAAAAACCCGGGGTAAAACCCACTGGGTTTGAAAAACTCAAACCCAACCCAACCCGTTGGGTATCCGCGGGTTCATGGGTACCCACGGGTTTTGTCGTAAAAAATTTACAATTACAAGTTTTTATCAAAATTAAAGTCAAATATCAATCTCTCAATATAAATTATCCATATATAAAACACCATTCTAGAAAATTCAAGCAAATCACAAATTAACTATACAAATTGTTCAACACCAATCTAGAAAACTCATGAAAATTGAAGCAAATCACAAATTATCCATAAATAACATGTTTAATTGAAAGCTTCTTTCTTTCAATTAAGTTTCTTTAGTCTCCACTCCATAACATCAACTTCATTCTACACAATTAAAAAGAAAAAATCAGACATGTCTCCCCAAACATAAATAAGAATAGTTGTTTAGAATATTAAATATACCGAAAAAATTAATTATATGAGTGGGCGGGTACCCACGGGCCGGGTTTACCTAAACCCAAACCCAATCCAACCCGGTGAATAGTGAACGGGTTTAAACCCAAACCCGGCCCAAAACCCGTCAACACGGATTTTACCCGCGTTGACCGGGTTGGGTCGGGTGGGTACCCGTGGGTTCGGGTTTTGTTGCCATCCCTAACCAAACCCTTTGACCATTAGTTTGATGACATGGCAATTAAAAATAATATATTCAAATTAAAAATAAATAAAAAATAAAATCATTTTCAGTTTGCTGTCAATTCCACGCTTTGGCCCAGGGTGCGTGCAACCCGTTTTTCTCACCGGGCCAGGGTCAAAACGGGTCGACCCGCGGGTTGATAACCTTGACTTTAACAGAACTGGACGACAGATGACTAATGATAAAACGATTCGTAAAATTAGTGGCGAATAAGAAAAAAAATAATTTGGGTGATAAGGGTGAAAAATTTGTATAATTTAAGTGAAGTTTAGCAGAATTTTTATAAAAACGGTTGGTTCTGGGAATTTTTTAAAGAATTATTGTATTTGGAAAAAATCCCTCCACCTGTCATCAAACATCCCTTCCCGCTGGACGGTGGTGGACGGTAAAGCAAAAAGCCCAACTATGTTGATTTTTCGGTATTTCAATTCAAAAGAATACAGAATTTTAAACACGAATTGTGCAGAGACAGTACAAATGCACCACAACCCCAGCATCAAGAAAGAAAAAGGAGAGAAACATCAAAGACTGAAGAGGAGATTGGGAGATTGATCTGTTCTTCACTCTTTCTCTGCTCCTTTTCCCTTCTCTCTCCTCCGTTTCCCCAATCGGTTGCTTCATCCCTACTCCATTTGATCACTCTGCGCCGACCAATCCGTATCTCCTCGCCTTTTCCGTATTCAGCTACTCTAAAAACCCTAGACGACTGCATCAGACTTGAGGCTGACTGCCCTGTGACTTCCTACCACTGCCCGCCATGGACGATGACTGCTGCTCCACCCAGCTGCTTGACGGCGACGGTACATTCAATGTCGAAGGACTCGATCGCTTCGTCTCCACCACCAAGCTCTCTGACTGCGGTCTCTCCTATGCCGTCGTCGCAATCATGGGCCCCCAGAGCAGCGGTGTGTTGTTCTCTGCTAACTTTCTGTTTCACCTTGATCCGGTATATGGGCTGCGATTGCTTTGTTTTACTTGAAACTGAGCCTGATTTTGCTCCCTCACTGGCTCAATTTAGCTTTTTTTGGGTTCATCTCAATCCCCTTTACTTTCATCAATCAAGATCATGTTGCAATCTCGCCCACCCCATGTATTTGATTGGTTTTGGCGATTATTGCAGCTTGTTCAGATTTACATTCGATCAAGATCTGTACTTTAACTGATACTTTCCCGTTTTTTGGCGTTTGAGCAGGCAAAAGTACCCTGATGAATCATCTTTTCCATACCAATTTCAGGGAAATGGATGCCTTCAGGGGAAGGTTCGCATTGATAATTTTGTTTAAATTTTAACCTCGGCTAAGTCTTTTTTATTTGTTCCAGTTATTCTGGCTATCTTTGTTTTTATTTCTTTGCAACTCAGTTTCCTTAACGTGGGAAAATGACTAATTTGGTATCAGGGGTCAAACAACGAAAGGCATCTGGATGGCCAAGTGTGTTGGCATCGAGCCATTTACGCTTGGGATGGATCTAGAAGGAACTGATGGCAGGGAAAGAGGGGAGGTAAGTTATATGTATGTTTCAAATGATTGTCTTTTTTGCTTGATTGGCAGTATTTCATTTTACAATTTGGAGTATGAAATTTGAATGCCAGCTGACTGTCGGCACTGTTGTTCGGTATTCTATTTTTGCTCATAATTGATTCTGACTGAGTTGGTGCTTACATATCATGTCATATGAGTTTTAACAATCTCTGTGGTAGACATCTAGTCTTTGAGCTGTTTGGGAGCATTTTCTTGGATAGTTGTTGATGTTTTAACAAGAACTGTAAAACCATACCGGATAAGTCAGTGGTAGAGTATTTTGTGTTTAACCAATGGTTCAACCGTTTCATACCGGTAAAATCCTATACCGGTTTGAGCTCCAATAGGAAGTTTTCCGGTCAGACCACTGGTATGTATGGTTTAGCAAACGCTGGTTTGAATATGATTTAGCTTTGGTAGTTACCAATTGAGAATTAGGTACTTTAGGGCACTTCGCCTGTCCTGTGATAAATATGTTTGTGTTGAAACAAAGTGCATTTACTAGTTCAGTTCATTTACCTTCTTGTTCGCTAATTAACTGCATTTCTATGCAACTCTAATGATAATATTGAACGTCTTTTTTCCAGGATGATACTACTTTTGAGAAACAAAGTGCACTTTTTGCTTTGGCTGTTGCTGATATTGTGATAATAAACATGTAAGTTCTGTGAGCCTGACATCATAATTTTTTGCTTTCTCTTCATGGCACAGCTGTTTCTTTTGTGCTCCTGGATGTAATTAAGGGCATAGACTAGCGGTATATGTATGTTTATGTGCATGTGTATATACACATAAAAGGCGTTGGAAATTTGAACCTGGTCTGAAGATTTGGGCTCCCGCCCTGCATTTGGACTACAGTAATTCATAATTTTATTGATAAGACGTTCGAGATGTTTGCTCCCAACACAACAATTATTCCGTACATGTTAGGTTTTCTCTGCTCTGAGTTCAAATGATAATAAAAGATTTTATCTATACAGGTTTATCTTTATATATGTATGAAATATTAGCTTTCAGATATAACCTTCATTTAAATGGTAGTGAAATACTTTGTAAGCTACATTGATTGGTGGAGAAAATGTTACCAAAAATTAAGCTTCAGCTGCTATTTGAGTTAGTTAGTCTTGCCAAATTGCTTATAATGTGCTCAATGAGGTCCTCTATCACCTAAGTGGGAGTAGTTGTTATTGTGTTTGCTACTGAGATTTCTTTAGGACTGAAAGTTGGTATTCATAGGTTAAATCAGGCAGACCTTTGATCTAAGATGTCGAAATGGTGTGTTTTTCTTGTTATTTTATGGTTTGCACATTCTTCCTGATGTTGTATTTCTGATTAGGTTGACAATCATCAGTTCATGTTGATATATATAGACACACACAACGACTTCGACCCAAGTTAAAGGTTTAGGTGACTTGCATGTATTTCTGATCTAAGATGTCAAAATGGGGTGTTTTCTTGTTAGTTTCCGGTTTTGCACATTCTTCCTGATGTTGTATTTCAGATTGTGTTGGCAATCATGACTTGCATGTACTTGTACTTGGCTCGTTCTGCCTGATGTGTCTCTGTCTTAACTAGATGGTGAATACTGTGTTCAGGTGGTGCCATGACATCGGGCGGGAGCAGGCTGCAAACAAGCCCCTCCTGAAAACTGTTTTCCAGGTATTTCAATGGTTTGTTCATGGTCGCTAGGTCCTTGGCAAGTCGATTACTGTCATCACTTATTTGGCCATTTCCTGTGCTGTATGCAGGTCATGATGCGTTTATTCAGCCCTCGCAAAACCACATTGCTGTTTGTTATACGGGACAAAACGAAGGTACCAATTTATTGTCATGCAGTTAAATGATATGGCACAGAGCATGTCTTGCCTCCTGATGAAATTTATTTGTGCCGAATCTTGACTTTTGCACAGACTCCACTTGAATATCTTGAGCCTATTCTTAGAGAGGATGTTCAGAAGGTATTTGTACTCTTAGTAGCCCATTTATATTTTGTTGGTTATTGACTATCAGTTATTCCTTCCCAAAGTGTTCATAATGTTTGTAACTCAATGCAGATATGGGATTCAGTTCCTAAACCCCAGGCTCACCAAGATACTCCTCTGAGTGAATTTTTTAATGTAAAATTTCTGTTACTCTCACTTTATATCTTTCTGATTTGTTATATTGGGTGCACTTTAGATGAGTAATTTTTCTTTGTTACAAGTACACGATGGCCTTGACATTTTGACGTATAAGTAGATTTTTCCATGATGCCATAGTCTTTTATAAGCTATATGGTTACCTGTTGAACTCACCCATTTATTATGTCTTAATTTGTTTGGTCATTGGTTTGAAGGTGGAAGTGACTGCTCTATCCAGCTTTGAAGAGAAGGAGCAACAGTTTAAGGAGCAGGTAAACGAATCTCACAATTTGCACACCCTTAAGGTCAACTTGTGTTTCTCCAGTAAGCCGTTGGTCACTATTGTGCTTTTGTCCAATTGATTAGCTTCAAACCTGTAGTCTTATTCCCTAGGACACAAATATAATATTTTCTTGTTGTGCTGCACTTGTTTGTATTGTTTGCTCTTGGTATCATCACAAGCTTATCACTTATGGTCTATTTATGTCATCTTATGCAGGTTGCTCAACTGAGAGAGCGTTTTTTCCATTCCATTTCTCCTGGAGGCTTAGCTGGTGATAGAAGGGGTGTTGTCCCTGCGTCGGCTTTTGCTTTCAGTGCGCTTCAGATTTGGAAAATTATAAAGGAGAATAAGGATCTCGATCTCCCTGCTCATAAGGTTCGTCTACTGAGGTCTTCATAGACAAAGATAAATTTTAGTTCTTTACCTGAGTGTTTCATTATTTTTGTTTGTCAGGTGATGGTTGCAACTGTTCGATGTGAAGAGATTGGCAATGAAAAGCTTCGTGACTTGAAGTCCGATGAGGTACTCCATTATTAAACCAGGATGTCTCATCCTGTTTTTTTTTTTTTTTGTTTTTGTTTTTGTTTTTGTTTTTGTTTTGCTGGTTTATTCCTGAACTGTGAAATTTTTAGTACAAGACCTCAAGAGTTATTGAATTTTCCTTAAAAAGGGATGGCTGGAATTGGAGGAAGCTGTTGAAGCTGGTCCAGTATCAGGATTTGGGAAGACTGTCAGCTCTATCCTGGAAAGATGCCTTTCAGAGTAAGTCTATAACTTTTGGGAGTTGTCACCCAACTAATAATGATCTTTTTTTATGTTTCTTCTGGATCACTTTATTGTCTCAATATATTCTAAACCTGTTTCTGGACAGGTATGACATGGAGGCAACTTATTTTGAGGAAGGAGTGAGAAATGCAAAACGGGAACAGCTGGAGACAAAAGCATTGGATGTAAGACTCTTGCTGTCTTTGTTATATAACTTTGTTGCTTACAGTTCCCAGTGTAATTATGCTCTTGAGATTTTGCCACTTCCGGTTACTGAGCTTCCTGTTTATCATGCAGCTGGTTCATCCTGTTTATGTTACTTTGTTGGGACATCTACGTTCTAAAGCACTTGAGGACTTCAAGAGTAGGCTAGAGCAGTCACTTAGCAGAGGCGACGGATTTGCTGCTTCTGTTCGTGCTTGTACTGAATCTTCCCTTGTTGAGTTTGATAAAGGATTCAAAGGTATTACAAATTTATGCTTTTTATTTTAAGTCGTCCCTAGAGTTGTGAGTTATGCCACTATGCTGTCTTATTTTGCGTCAAGGGAAACTTGTTGGAAAACTTCTTTCCTGAGGGGATCGGATGGTATCTTACTGATGTAGGTGTTCATATATGGATTAATCAAAGCACAGGTTAATTTAGCTTTAGCCCAAAGATTGCTTACTGGGATTGGGGATGAAAAACATCCAACCACTTTGGTCCTTAACCTGGAAAAGGAACATCACAGGACGGTAGCTTGTTAACTTTTGCGTTTATATGGTGCAATGTTACAGTTTTTGTGTTGTCTGACTTGTATTTTTGTATGGCCCATTTAAGCTCGTAGTTAGGACCTCTCAGATTGTTCTTATGACTAAGGTAATGGCAGATGTATATGTGCTTCTAATTGAATCCTTTTAAGTAGTTGTTAGATGTATGCATTGTGGTATATGTTAACAGTTAAGAAGGAGAAGGGGGGGGGGGGGGGGTATTTTATTAAATATTGGGCAATGCCTGAGCTGGTTCCTTGTGGAAGAATGACAGTGGAAATTGTGATGGGCCTAAAATAAACGGCTCATATAACTGCTGTGGGAGTATGCCTCATTAACAGATATATATGAAGTTGCGAACGACCACTGTAATCAGAAGAGTTTGTAAGGAGTTGACAGGTGACACTTTTAAATATAGGTAGCGTCAACATGATCTAGAGAACCTAACCTCTTCCCTGACTAAGAGGCATGGCTAGAATTACTTATGATGAGGATCCATTGCTTCAATGCTACATTGAGGCGCTATTACATGTCGTGCTGTATTGGACAAGTTAAGGAGGACGACTTGTAAACTTTATTCATATTCCTGGCAGTAGGAAGGTACAACTGCTTGGAAACCTATATTGTACTCATTAATTTGACTAACTCTACCAGTTCTCATATTTCAGATGCTTCCATAAAACAAGCCAATTGGGATGCTTCAAAAGTTCGGGAAAAGCTTCACCGTGATATTGATACACATGCTTCATCTGTTTGCAGTGCCAAGTTGTCTGAAATGACAGCAAAGTATGAGGTAATTTATTTATCTTTAAGAGCTCACTTCATGCTAGGACCGACTAGCAGCATTTTATCTATCACCTCTTCTGAGGTCCTTTTGTGAACTTAGTAGCTGTAGCTCTGCATTCTGGTCTTGGATAACTGAATCTGGAGACATTGTTGATATGCAGAATAAACTCACTGAAGCTCTGAGTCATCCTGTAGAATCCCTCTTTGAGTCTGGTGAAAAGGACACATGGGTTTCAATCAGAAAGCTTCTAAAACGTGAAACAGATGCTGCTGTAGCGGAGTATTCCACTGCTGTTGTTGGTTTTGAATTGGATGAAGCTACAGTTGATGCACAAGTGCAGAACTTGAGGGACTTTGCAAGAAATGTAGTGGAGAAAAAAGCAAGAGAAGATGCTGGGAAGGTTTTGATACGTATGAAGGATAGGTAATTACTAATCTACATAATTATACTCTGGTGTATCCTCTGATGTAGTAATCACATGGTTAAGTAATTCATGGGATGTGTTTCAGATTTTCCACAGTTTTCAACCATGATAATGATTCAATGCCGAGGGTTTGGACTGGAAAAGAGGACATCAGAGCCATAACGAAGGATGCGCGATCTGCGGTAATCTTCAATGAACTTTCAATATGTGACTTCATGTTCAAACATATTGGTTTATATCTCAAACTGTTTTATGTGGTTGTGCAGTCCTTGAAACTTCTCTCAGTCATGGCTGCAGTACGTTTGGATGAGAAACCAGATAAGATTGAGAATGTACTTGTCTCCTCCCTCATGGATGGTGCTATTACTACTCAATCTTCTCAAAACAGAGGTGTTGGACCTACTACTGACCCTCTAGCTTCAAGTTCCTGGGAAGAGGTATTAGCAACCATTTGATGTTTAGGCATCTCTTTTTACTATGACCAATTGACCATAGCTTCTATGTATAGACTTTCTGTACCTCACTTTCGTGCCAGCAATTTATTGTGAGTATCACATGTGTGGCAGGTTCCTCCAAAAAATACAGTAATTACACCAGTTCAGTGCAAGTCTTTGTGGAGGCAGTTTAAATCAGAGACAGAGTATACCGTTACCCAAGCAATTTCCGCTCAGGTACAACAACACCCCCCGCGTTAAAAATGGTTTCCTGGTCCATCTCTTATGCTTGCCTTCACTAATTGGGTCTCATCATGCATGATATACAATAGTTGATTGTGCAAGAAGTTGGAGGCGTTCTGGGTTCCGCCCACTATTTTCTTGGGCCCATTGTCATTTTGATCTCTTAAATGGTTCATCTGATGTTTCTACCCCCATAACCTAAACAATTTTCTGGAACTGACTCTTCCATCATCTGCTTCATTATGTCTTACCACACTAATACACTGCTTTCTCTGAGCAGCACAGTTAATTGTGTATTGAAGCTTTGTGCATGGCAGTTATATTCCTTAGTATTGATGAAACCTAGTCAGACAAGTGTTTTCTTTTTATTTCAACTAGTTATATTCTTGGCGAGTGTGTTGAACTAGTGATTTCAGAAGATGCATGGATTTAAAATGGTAAATCGTTTTTCTGCCGTTTTTTGTGAAATGCATGGATTTCAAACAGGTAGACATTTTTCATTTACTTTTAAATGATGCATTTGAAATCTGAGATTTTAGGTGAGATTTCAATGCTCCATTGTAAGTGATTTCCTATTCCTTTTCTGTCCTTGCTTTTTGTTTAGTATTCTGATTTTACCTACCTTATGAAACCGTCAATTCTGGATTAAATATCACAACTTTCAGATAATATATACTTACTTCAAATCCATGCATAATCAAAATGTGTTCAAAACATCCTTCTGGGCTTTTCCCGATCCAGACTGTGATTCATTTGTTGGATTCCCTGCGCATCGACGCTCTTACCTAATTATCCCTATTTATTCTGTTTTCGCCCCTTTCTGGTGAATCACGCCTAATTCCCTTCTAATATATGGTGGTAATGCAATTTTTTTTCAGGAGGCTCACAAACGAAATAACAATTGGTTACCTCCTCCATGGGCAATTGCTGCAATGCTCATCCTTGGTTTCAATGAGTTCATGCTTTTGTTGAAGTAACTCCCTTGCTGATATTTTTCATTGCTTGAAAGATATCCCCCTCTGTATCTTATTGCTCAATGAACACGTCATCTGACATTACGGCTTAACAGGAACCCCCTTTACCTAATGGTTCTGTTCGTTGGATACTTGCTCTCGAAGGCCTTATGGGTACAGCTGGATGTTGCTGGGGAGTTTCGACATGGCCCGGTTAGTCTAAATTACAAATCTTAGAAAATGCAGTCCCTGACAGAATTGCATAGCAAAAAGTAGATTGAACCCGGTAATTTAACATCACTTGGACGTTAACCGATTAGCTTTTTCCCCGTTTCTTGGTATGCAGGTGGCTGGGTTACTGTCCATATCATCCAGGTTTCTTCCAACAATCATGAATCTTCTAAAGCGACTCGCTGAAGAAGCTCAAGGTCAAGGCCAGCAGCAGCAGCATCAAACACCAACAGCACAAAAACCATATACAGTAGATTCACATAGTTTCAAGCATGAAAGTTCCAGTTCGAATCCAACATCCACTGTGATTTCAGATTCTTCTGTATCCTCATCCAATGTCTCGTACTCTGATAGTGGGATGGAGTACTCGAGCCCAAGCCAGATGCACAGGCGGAGTTCGAAGGGTGAGGTAGAGCAATCCTGATGTTTCACTGCAGTTACTACTATGTCTGCTTCATTTTTTGAGTGGGCAGACAAGTCAAGCGTGCATCACCAGATACATTTAGGATTCCCCGAATGTCTGTAATCTCAGAACGAATAAGTTAGGAATATCTTTGTGTGTGTTTGCTGAGTCTGGAACCGTGATCTCCAAACTTTTGTATGACAATTTGAGTATTGTTCGTTCTGAGCATCGCTGAAAAAGGAAAGAAGTTTCCACTTTTTCTTTTGTTTTGTTTTGGTATGAGAACTTTACACATGTAAGTTTGGATTGGAAGTTTGGAACATATTGTACGATTCAGTTTATACCTCAAGAAGAAAAGTTGTCATGCCATTCAGATCTTAGTCGAGTGTTCTGTTATTGTTTGAGATGATTGAAGCCAATCAAGCATATACAAAATTGAGTGTGGCATTCAAGAGGATCGTGCAGCCAGTCAGCAATGCAGGTGTGCTTCACAGCACCTTGGCTGGCAACCTTGCGACATGATGCAAGTATGCTTCCGGTAGTAAAATGATATTACAACCGAGTATACGCTCCGATTATGTACAAGGATGTGTAAACTGCATCTACAGATTTTGAGAACCAGACCATCGCTTCTTTAGTAGTTTTGTCACGGTCAAATCTGCTCCTCCAAACCCGTCCATTATTGCATTCGCTGACGGGAACTCAGCTCTAGACGTCAAACTGTAAGGAAAGAACCAACAAGGCAAGTCAGTAATAGATCGAGTACAATTGACAAGATAGGTTGTTTTACAATTGGACATGAAGCATGTGAGAAATCAACACTGGTTGTTAACTTTTCATGTCCTCTTCCTTGGCACAAACTATCAGAGCTGCTAGAAATGACATGCACCATGTTCGATGCTCCATTAAATTTATATAAATCCTGACGAACCCAGCAGCAAAAGCTATTGTTTTGACTCCTAAGCCATATTTACAGCCGGTTAAGATTTACCTAAAATCATGACTCTACCCAGAATCTTATGCTACAGATTGTTACATAAAATCGGGTAATTTCAACAGTTAAAACTTAAAATCTGTAAAATCAAACAATTTTTATGACACCACCAACCATGCAAAACATGATAGTTGGTATGTCACGTCTTCCTAAATACTTGAAACTCATGTCTAGTTGTGAATTGGAAGTTTCCATTGTTGTTAAATCTTAGGATTCAATTGTACCATTCCACATACCACCACTTCAGTTTTCTAACTAAATGCTTGATCCTGAAATATAGGAAAGATGGCTATGTTCTGGGACGAGCATGATCTGGTACAATATGAAATTGAACCAAATTGGTATCCAGATAAAAAATATAGAAAAAGGGAGAACCAGAGTCGGATCAAAAGAGCATTCAACCTGATCCAGTATGTTTTTTTCTTATCTTTTAAGATGCTATATGACAAAAATAAAAATAAAATGATCTTGAATTTGAAAATAGAAATCAAATAGAATTTTGTTCACTCCAATCAGATTCAATCAAAATATCGATTTGATTTGGTCTGATTTGGACCTAATTGTTGCCCACCAGTAGCTATGTCACAATCCTCCCAGCCACTTATGTAAAACTAGAATGCCACTCAGAGTAAAACGAGGTATTATAACCAATGTACTTGGAGCAAGAGTTTTACCAACCTCTCAGATGAACTACTACCAACTACCAAGCTCTACTTTTAACTTCAACATCGATGCAACTTCTTCGGCAACCCTCTGTTTCTAATCGGAAGCTGATGAGGAGAAGCAAAAACCAACCAATTTTCAGTGGAAGATTATGGGACACAGCCAAGTGAAGAATCTACGAGGGTAGGACCTTCCTAACGTTTTCAAGGTTCATTTATGAGTCGACATGACTCACTCCTCAACTCCAGGTCGTAAAGGTGAACCTTCAGATACCACAAATTGTAGGAAACACGTGACCGTGTTCCTAGAGGGGGAGAGGGCTCGGCCCTAGTATGTAAGTGGGAGGGGTTCGGTTAATTGTTCGGTTATTTTATAACTCCTATTTAAGGGAGAACGGTCTTATTTTGAGGATGAAGCAGAAAGTACATTTAATCACTAAATCCCTATCTCTCTACTTCCCTCAACTCTTCTCACATTCTTCCCCAAGTCCCTTCTAAATTTCAATCCCTAACCCTAAATTCTCTTCTCAATCTATCACAATTCTCAATCGCGAACTTAGTTCCTTCAGTGGTATCAGAGCCTCGTCGATCATGAGTTCACCGCAACTCTCACATGGGGACCGGATGGCTTAGCTCAAAGAGCAGCTTTGACAGGCGCTGCGGCAAGTTGAGGGCGCGACGGAGGAGATGAGGCTGACCCTCTCCGAGGCGCGGCCACACAACGACGACGGCAGGAGCTTCGCTCCACCGATCGCTGCGATCCAGACCGCCGGCAGCGAGGAGCAGCAGCTCGCCAACGCAGAAGAAGGGGAGACGAGGGTGGCTCGTCCGTTCGATGTGGATATGCAGTTGCTTGAGGTAGTGGATGTGGATATGGTGGTATTGTGCTGGCCGCTGGAGAGTGCCGAGAATCAGGAGGTGACGCCGGACATGCGGGGCCCTCTTGGAGCATTATTCGGGCTATTTGCGACCCCGCAACGGCTGCCACCAAGCCGACAGGTGGACCACCGGATCCAATTGAAAGAGGGAATCGACGCAGTCAACGTGAGACCCTACCGGTATGCACACTTTCAGAAGGAGGAGATAGAGCGGCAGGTGGAGGAGATGTTGCTCTCTGGGTTGATCCGGCTGAGTTCGAGCCCCTTCTCTTCACCAGTATTATTGGTTAAGAAGAAGGACGAAACGTGGAGGTTCTGCACGGACTACAGGGCACTAAACGAGGCCACCATCAAGGATAGGTTTTTGATTCCCACGGTCGATGATATGCTTGATGAACTACAGGGTGCCCGGTATTTCACTAAGTTGGGTCTGAGGGCGGGATATCACCAGATCAGGATGCATGAGGAGGATATCCACAAGACGACTTTTAGAACGCACAGCGGGCATTACGAGTACCTGGTTATGCCCTTCGATCTCTGCAACGCCCTATCCACCTTTGAGGCAGCTATGAATGACATTTTCAGACCACCTCTACGCAGGGGAGTGCTGGTTTTCTTTGATGATATTTTGGTTTATAGCTCTTCTTGGGAGGAGCATTTGCGGCGATTGCAAATGGTGTTTGAGATTTTGCTGGATAACCAGTTCTTTGTTAAAGCATCGAAGTGTGCCTTTGGAGTGCAGAAGTTTGACTATCTGGGACATGTCATAACTGGGGAAGGAGTTCGAGTTGACCCCGGGAAGATACAGGCAATGGTAGATTAGCCGATTCTGAAGACAGTGACAGAGTTGAGAAGGTTTCTAGGTTTGACGGGCTATTACCGGAAGTTTGTGCAAGGATACAACTCTATAACACGCCCTCTGACGGAGCTACTAAAGAAGGGAGGGTTCGGTTGGAACCCACAGGCCGATGAGGCCTTCCGTGCTTTGAAGGTGGCCATGACGACGACCCCGACATTAGCACTTCCAGACTTCTCACAACCGTTCATTATCGAGACCGACGCGTCTGGGAGGGGATCGGCGTTGTGCTGTCCCAAGGCGGACATCCCATTTCATTAATGAGTTGTACCCTAGCGCCGTCCAAGGAAGCCTGGTCGACGTACCGAAAGGAGATGCTGGTAATTACGAATGTCGTACAGACATGGAGACCATATCTGCTAGGGTACACGGATCATCAGAGTCTCCGGCATTTTCTCAATCAGAAAGTCTCCACCCCGGATCAACACAAAAGGGTAGTGAAGCTCCTCGGCTACGCCTACGAGCTCCACTACAAACCCGGGCCGACAAACAAGGTGACAAATGCTTTATCGAGGTTGGATAATGGACCGGTGCTCGCGGCAGTAACCGGACAGTGGTGCGCTTTTGGGATGAGGTTCGTCGGGCAGTGGAGACCAGTGCTTACCTGTTGTAGTGCAAGAACCGCACCATGAGCCAGGACCCAGGCGAGTATACCCTGCACCATGGCCTTGTATTTTTGCGTGGTCGAGTGGTGCTACCAGCCCAGTCTACTTTGACGACTACTGTGATGAGGGAGTTTCATGATTGACCGGTTGGAAGCCATTCGAGGCACGAGCGGACATTGAGGAAGATCAAGGCCCAGTTTTTATTGGCCGCAGATGGCTCCAGAGGTGAAAGCCTATGTCGCCTCCTGTGACACCTGCTAGCGTGCCAAAGCCTCATTTCTGCGACCTACGGGTTTATTGCAGCCGTCGCCGGTACCGGAAAGGGTGTGGGAGGACATCAGTATGGACATCATTGTGGGGTTACCGCCCTCAGGGGGCAAGACAGTTGTGTTGGTAGTGGTAGACATGTTGACGAAGTACGCACACTTCATGGCGCTCTCACATCCGTACACGGCTAGGACTGTATCCGAGCAGTTCGTGCACGGAGTAATCTGCCACCATGGGTTTCAACACTCCGTTGTCAGTGACTGGGATGCTCTATTTCTGGGGAAATTCTTGAAGGAGGTGTTCGCCCTCGCCCAGACTGAATTGAGGATGAGTTCAGCATATCACCCGCAGTCAGACGGACAGACCGAGGTCGTCAACAAACATCTGGAGCAGTACTTGAGGTGATTCGCTCATCAGCAGCCCCAGAGTTGGTTGGCAATGCTGCCTTGGGCGGAGTTATAGTACAACACCACTTATAATCGCTCAGATGACCCCGTTTGAGGCTCTGTACGGGCGTGCACCGCCGACCGTTGTCTACTTTGATGACTACTGTGATGAGGGAGTTTCATGATTGACCGGTTGGAGGCCATTCGAGGCACGAGCGGACATTGAGGAAGATCAAGGCCCAGTTTTTATTGGCCGCAGATGGCTCCAGAGGTGAAAGCCTATGTCGCCTCCTGTGAAACCTGCTAGCGTGCCAAAGCCTCATTTCTGCGACCTACGGGTTTATTGCAGCCGTCGCCGGTACCGGAAAGGGTGTGGGAGGACATCAGCATGGACATCATTGTGGGGTTACCGCCCTCAGGGGGCAAGACAGTTGTGTTGGTAGTGGTAGACATGTTGACGAAGTACGCACACTTCATGGCGCTCTCACATCCGTACACGGCTAGCACTGTATCCGAGCAGTTCGTGCACGGAGTAATATGCCACCATGGGTTTCAACACTCCATTGTCAATGACTGGGATGCTCTATTTCTGGGGAAATTCTGGAAGGAGGTGTTCGCCCTCGCCCAGACTGAATTGAGGATGAGTTCAGCATATCACCCGCAGTCAGACGGACAGACCGAGGTCGTCAACAAACATCTGGAGCAGTACTTGAGGTGATTTGCTCATCAGCAGCCCCAGAGTTGGTTGGCAATGCTGCCTTGGGCGGAGTTATAGTACAACACCACTTATAATCGCTCAGATGACCCCGTTTGAGGCTCTGTACGGGCGTGCACCGCCGACCGTTGTGTGTTACCAGTCAGCCTTGAGATCGGTGGACGCCGTCGATTGCTGGCTCGCCGCAAGAGACGAGGTTCTGGAGCAGTTAAAGGCCAACTTGGCGGATGCCAGAACCGCATGAAGCAGGAAGTCGATTCGGGCCGGCGGTAGGAGGAGTTTGCCGTGGGCGATTGGATTCTGCTCCGCCTAAACCCATATCGCCAGTCGTCTTTGTTCAGACGAGCCTACCAGAAGTTGGCGACTCGCTACTTTGGACCTTACCAGGTGCTGGAACGAGTGGGATCTGTGGCATATCGCCTACAGCTTCCAGCTACTGCTCGTATCCACCCGACCTTCCATGTTTCCTTGCTCCGCAGGTACCGAGGAAGTTCGCGGCCGGAACACCCACCAGTTTGAGTCGGAAGAGGTAATGGAGACGCGATGGGAGAGACAGGGGAAGAGACTGGTCGAGCAAATCTTAATCCGCTGGCCGCATTTGGGATCCGAGGAAGCTACATGGGAGGATACCGAGACGATTTGATAGAACTACCCGGCGTTCGACCTTGAGGGCAAGGTCGGTCTCTAGAGGGGGAGATTGTAGGAAACACGTGATCGTGTTCCTAGAGGGGAGAGGGCTCGGCCCTAGTATGTAGGTGGGAGGGGTTTGGTTAGTTGTTCGGTTGATTGTTCGATTATTTTGCAACTATTTAAGGGATAACCGTCTCATTTTGAGGATGAAGCAGAAAGTACGTTAAATTCCTAAATCCCTATCTCTCTACTTCCCTCAATTCTTCTCACGTTCTTCCCCAAATCCCTTCTAAATTCCAATCCCTAATCCTAAATTCTCTTCTCAATCTATCTCAATTCTCAATCGTGAACTTAGTTCCTTCACAAACTCATCCAATGCTTTTTTCTGCCAACAACCACACATACTGAAAAAACTAATAAACTATTATAGTCACTCACATCCAGAAATCTCGGGGAGTTAAGAAACATTTGATGAACATGCAACCAAGAGAAAAAAGATCTCAACACCATAGTATTACAGCTAGCAAGAATACCTTCTCTTGTAGAACATTTTTCACGAACGTGCCTTTCTCGCTTGTTGGCATAGAAGTAGGCCAACCAATCTGCAAGAAGATGCAGAAACTCTGTACAACCCCAACCACCTAAATGGTATTAATAACGTCGAACACAAGAGGGATGGTGAACTTACCCGGTTAAAATACAAAAGCACCATTCTTTCCTCATCACCGGTACTCTTCCTGGGAACAATAAAGAGCCATGATTCTGCGACGTAAGAT